CCCGCCGCACGGCTGTGCGCCGCCCCCGCGGGGCGGGATCCCTGTCCCCGTCCCCGTCCCCGTCCCCCCCGAGGCGCCGGGCTGCGGATAAAGCGCTCCCTCCCGAGCCCGCGCCCGCGTGGATGGTGCCCCGGCCGCGGCGATGGCTTTGCTCCCCAGGCGCTTCCTCTGCTTCCTGCTGGGTAAGTGGCGGTGCCCCCTCGTCGCGGGGCTTCGCCCTCGCTCGTGCCGCGGGCCCCCCCCCCCCGAGGGAGAGGCCGGCGTGACCCGCCCGCCGCTTGCCCCGCCCGGGACCTTCTTCGCCCCTGACATGTCACCAGCAAGCTCGTCCCTTGCTGATCGGCGGTGAGGGGCCGGGGGGCAGTCCGCCTCCGGTGCTGCTGTGACCGCCCCGGAGCTGAACACCGGGGCCAGCACTGGAACCAGCCCGACAGGCTTTGTGGAGGCAGAGGAAAACCAGCCCTGCTGCGGTTTGGGCACTGGCCAGTGTAATGGTTGTGTGGCGGGGGCGCAGGACACACCTGTGGTTAGGTGTCGGGCACATGCCTGCTTCATGTCTGAAGTGCCCTGGCCCCGCTGGTGACTAGATGCCACCCTGCCCCCTGACTGGTCTGGTGGCTGCTAGCCCGGAAACCTGGCCACTGGAAAACCCATCTGTGAGCAAACGGGATCTGTGGATACTTTGGCAAACTAAAGAAACTGCTGCTGTTCAGAAACCTGAATGAATTTTCCGTGCATGTTCTGAAAAGACTTTATTTTTTAATCCTAAAGGCTAACATTTACTACCGTTCTCATTCTTGGTGATCCACTATAACGTCGCCCGTCCTTACCTTTTCCCTAAAGTCTGACCCGTGTGAGAGTGTCTGTACTGTCATCTTCAGTTCTGCTTCCAAAGGCCAGTAGAGATTAAAATGGAATTTAATTCTAAAATGGCAAAGAATTCAAAATGAATATTTCACCTGGCACCGACTGTGTCAGTTGGAAATGCCACCTGGATCTGTCTTGTTTGCATTTACTTGTCTGCTTAAAGGAATATCAGCTCTCTGAAGCAGGTTTATGTTCACAGCTTTTCCTCTCCTTTCCTCTCACCACCCACATTGATACAGACTAAGCCATTAGTAAATTATATAGTTGTTTTCCCTAGTTTTCCATTTCTGCCATGTACAAACCAGTATGTTGAGGACATCATTGGAATTGCCTGTCTTGAGAAATGCTGCTGATGCTAAATGAGGTATCAGAGCATATAAAAGGTTGTCTTAAGTCTGCGTCTGAAGATTTTTTTTCTGGTTTTGTTTTGCTAAATATTTTTCATGTGGCATCTTGTCTCATGCTTTTGTTACTAGAGTTACAGGTGCAACAGGTAGAAACTCGTGTCATTACTGTAAGTATCTCTAGCATAAAAGCTTTGAAGAATCATATATCGGTGTGTTTTGTAATAGTGAATGCATTTGAGTTTCATTAACCTTTAAAGGTAAGCCACATTAAAACTGTTTGATACTGATTTGAAATATAACATTCGTCGTGGAATCCGAAGATTGAGGAAGCTTCTATTTCCTTTTTACCTTCCTTTCATTCTTCCACACTGTTTTCCTCTTCAAAACCCTAGTAAATAATGTATTGAGCTGTGCTGCATATAATGGTCTTACCTGTACAACATAATTAACTATTTACCACTTTTTAGCATGTGACTATTCACAAAGAAATAGAAGATGGCACAAGTTAGACTAAACCCATTCTCCATGTTCACTTTTAAAGAGAGACTCACAGTCCATGATTAAATAGTAAATAATAACATTTTGAAACTATGCAATAAATAGTATACATGGAAGCCTAGTATTAATGCCAATACACAGTAATTCTCTTTCATCTAGGACACATGTTCTGATGTCTCTTTCCAGTTTTTTTTAAATTGTAAATCTTCCTGTCAGACTTTATCAAAGCAGCTGTTAGGAAAATGATAGATAACATGTGAGCTTTAGTTTTGTGTTACATTTTAGAAAATCTTCTTAAATTGAATAATATGAATAAAATTAAAATAAATAAGTTAAATTAGTGGTGATATTATGCAAGTATAAAGCCCAGTCCTACAACGTGCTAAATCTCTGAAATCCTATCCCCTGCACTGGAAATTGCCTTAACAATTGGGACTCACACATATACTTATTGGTACCTTTTTAGCGTTAATGTTGCCCTTTGATTACTGCATAGGATGATTTTTTCAGTGCAGGCAAGGTGCAACCAAATGACTCTGGAAAGCCAAAAGAATACAATGTAAATTGTACCTATATTGAGGCTGTCTAATGCACAGTATCTGTTCTATTTCCACATATTGTCCTATAGACTGCTTATATTGCACTAGCGGAATATAAATACGGTACTAAAATGAATCAGGCATTAATAAATACATCATATGAAAATAAAAGCTTTGCAATACATACTCTAATACATCCTTGTTTCCTGAGTGTTACCGTAGTTTTAGTTTTGTCTACTGACTGGCTTTTTGATTTTAACTAGGAAGTAAAAGGAGTGCTGTCAGTTAATGTAACTTTGTAAAATAAGAGCATCTCATTCACTTACTACTTAGTATCTTTATTATTTTTCATTTTCACTAGTCCTTCTCCTTACCACCAAAAGTGGTCTGTGCTAAAGATAACTTCTGAGTACCCCCTTTCTTTTTAAGTGGTTTAATATATCATCTGCCACCATTGTACAATAAGTATTTAGCCAGATACATTTAATAGCTGATAACAAGGAATTAACATTTTCAAATCTAGGTCTGTTTATTCTTGCTGAATCCCTAAGGGCTTGGCAGGATCACAGTTCTAAGTATATTAGTCCAGATTTTCTTAAAACGGTGGTGGTTCCTGTACAGGAGTTATACCAATATAGGAAGCATATGTATTTTAGGCACATAGACCATTTCTCTGTGACAGACAACAGTTAATTGGGGTGTGTGAGTTCCATTCTGGTGGGTACATTTGTCCTTTGCTATCTCTTTCTTGTGCTATTTTTTGTGCATACCGCATACTGTACTATTAAAGGAGCAGTCTATTTTTTTTTCTTTCCAATTTAGAGCACTGTATATTATTTATAGCTGCCATCATTTCAGGTTATGATATAAATGCCATTGAAAAATTGAGAGAGACAGGTTAATTTGGGATTGTGACTGCAGTCTTTGGAGCCTCTTTGCACAGGAGGTAAATCGTCCACCAGTATCATTACCAAAGGGGAATGAATAAACATGGCAGGGTCATAAGTATCATGGGCATGTATTTGGCAGACAAACAGGGACTACCTCTGTCAGATGGGAGGTCTTACTGCCTGTTTTGGAGTAGCTGCTTCTGTTGACGTTAATAGCAGCACTCACCACTGCAAAGTTACTTTGGGAAGCAGCTATTGCACAGGGGAGCAATTAATGAAAATGGCAAATAGTGTGGCTATTTTCACAGGCACTTTTTTTTTCCTAAACTTGTAAGCTCTGTAAATTGTAAGAGTGCAGCCTGGGGCATCTCATTCAACATTTCTCTGCCTTAGTTTCCCCATTTGTAAAATGTGGATGATGGTACTGTTTTTTCCCTGTAAAGTGCTGAGAGATTGATGGACAGAAAGCACCGAAGATTATTTATTATTTTCCCCTTTCCCAAACTAGTATTTTTTGTTGCTTTTGTTAATTTCTTCAAATGTGTAAAATACATCTGTAGGTACCCAACCTGTCCTCTGGGCACCCATTCCAGAAATTAAAGGTTGCAGTAGAAATATAGATAAGGAATTGCTCATAGATGCAACTACTTCACACTCATACTTCTCAACAGCCTTAACAAAGAGGAGAAAAGTGATTTGCATTGCTGTATTCCCAAAAGATTAACAAATGGTTTATAGGTCAGGCACTTAAATAAATTGCACAGTTGAGCAAGTGCCCAGCTCCATGAAGTGAAGTGTTTCTGTGTTCATGTAGTGGGGAATACATAGTCATCTTCCTCTGGCCATCCTCTGTCCCTCAAACATCCCTCCTACCCTTTACCCCTTCTCTGCATTCAGCTCCCTTGCATTGCAAACCACAGCTATTTCCATGATAAGGAAGTTGTTGGATAATATTCAGTGTGATTTTTAAATGTACACATCCAAAAATAAGAGTTGCAGCACAAGTGATACAAATGTGTTGGGATTCCTTTGTTGCATCTATACTAATGTAATCATCCTTTTCTGTCTCAGCAGTATTAGAACTCAGAAACTTAACCTCTGATCTGAAATACCTTCACTGCATGTGTTACATGATGGGTTCTTGGCAGTAGGTGTTGAACAAAGAAACCTCTGTATCTGAAGACATAGTGCCTCTACTGCCTGAGCTAAAAGAGTCACCTTTGTCAGCTGAAAGCAGTAGGTGACTCAAATGTGATTCAGCCACTAGAGAGCGACAGAGCTACACTGAATGCAGGTTACACTTTGATGATGTAAGCTTTTCCAACTGTGCAAATGGGTACACACAACTGCAGGTTCAAATCCTGGCAGGATCAATATAGCCCCTCCCCCTCCCCTTTTTTTTCTGTGCCTGATGCTTTCAAGCACTATGCAGTTGACTGCTCAAGTGTCTTTTAGGTGACACCTTTATAAAGCAGTAACGATCAGAATATTGACCATCTCAAGACAACAACTTTTTCACTGGAATCTAATTGCATTAGAGTGAGAGAGAGAAATCTCCTGTCACTATTTTTACTCCTGTCTTGTTGGCAGAGGTGACATGGCTTGGAGTGTTTTCTCTCTGGCTTTCATATTTAGGTGGTTACACAAACATAGCCAGGAGTGGAATTTGGCCAGCTGAAACCATTAGTTCTGGTGGGGGTGGACGGACTAGAAATAATTCAGCATAACTCAAATCTAAGGTTGAAGTTGCATCTGAAGTATTGGGGCAATGGGAGAGGAATGAACTGGACCCCCCAGTCCCCCAGCTAGTCCCCTTC